AAGCCTCGTCTACTTCGGCTTCAGACTGGCTTGATTCTTCAGCGACCTTCTCGGCTATCTCCACATGCTCTGAATTGGATGCCTTCAAACTAACTTGCCTCAAGTTTTTTAAGTTGGTTAAGATAAGGGCCGTAAGAGACTCTTCGCCTCTCGGAACTGGGATGTTTTCAGCCGCCGAGAACGTCGTATACGTCGGCTCGTATTGAAGAAGAATGTAGGCCACCCTTCCTTGTTTCTGAAGGCTTGGACGGCCAAAGTATTTGAGCGCGACTTTAATTTCCGCAAGAATAGCGTCGTCAGTTGAAATCAAAACTTTCTTCAAATCGTTTCCTACACAAGTAAAACCATGAGACCACAAAAATAAAGCCGAATAAATATAAGAAAGATAAATGTAAGGAGATATATGGCCACATGGTTCGCCTCTCCGTCTAGGAATAGGATCTAGGCGGTCTTCACCTCCGCCAAATTCCCAGTTATCTCGGACAACGACCATGACATCATTAACTCACTTGCCAGAGCTGAAAAGCATAGTCACTAATTGATAGTCGATGTCCTTGGCTCTAAGGAAATAGCGCCCATGTCGGCCAGAAGACTTGGCAAAGGCATAATAATGCCGAATAGCAGGTATATCGAGATTAATCCTAAGGCGACGGTTTAACTCTATAATCCCCATTATGATTCAAAAAAAAAATTACATTAGGTTGGGAAGGGATTAGACCCCAATGGCGAAGGACGGCCCTAAGAAATGGGTGAAGGGGGAAATGGACTCCGCCCTCTGCAATTGATAAGAGAGGGAAGACGATTATGCTTTCATCAGCCCTCTCCATATCAAGGGTGTTGTCTGTCACAAGTGACAGACGGACGTCATCAGGGATGGAAAAATGGCGTCGAAAGCCAGAGGCTCAATCCGCAGAAAGGAGGTCTTTCAAATACTTTGCCATTTTCGTCAGTCTATGGAATATGCTAAACTAAAAACAAACCAGGAAAAGGGATTCGAAATAGAGAGGAAGAGAACTTACAAGAGGCGGAGAAGACAATGAGGAATAAAAAGAGGTTGCAGAGGTGAATCGGAAGGCACACCAAGAGCTTCAAGTATTCAAAAAATGTGTATGCATTCGAAAAGACAACAAAATTTTAAATCACAATAAATGGAAGAAGCGTACGAAGGGGCGGGAAGTTGTAATGATGACCGAAAAGCGTGTGAGCTCTGACATTCTCGTTGGAATGAGGTTAGCCGCCGAATTTCGACTCTAACTTTTCGAGTTCGAAACCAAACACGCTAGCTAACTGTTGTTAGTGGAGTGTTTGGGGGGCAATTGTGGGGGTCGAGTATTAGGAGATGCAAAGAGGCCGAATAAGTGAACTTAGAGAATCGAGATACATACATTGTATTCGGCCCAGTCTTATACAAATTCAGAAGTATCCTAATCGGCCAAATAACCAGTTGAGCGAGGAGCCGAGTAAAGTGTGGTTTGCAACAAAAGGAGCCGAGTAAATAGTTACATGGTGGATTAAAGGTGGGCCCAACCTTGAGACCCAAGAAAAGATATAAATAGAAGAACATCAACCAAAGAGAGGTATGTGAGAACTGGTATGCTTAACTTAAGATACAAGCAATCGAGAATGTATACACTGATTTTTCCGTCGGAGTGCTAATTCTAGCACCCCCGACCGGAGTGTTCATTTTTTTTCAGGTTTCTAGCTGAGGATCTCGAGCGTCCCATTGGATCCAAAGAGTATTTCCAAACCACTTCTCCACAAAACTCATAAACAAATACTAAACTGCGCCAATCATTTATTACTTTGATAAATTTTTCAGTATCATTTTCAACAACAAATAATCATTCAATAAACACAAAACATACATATAAAAAGTCTCAAATTTTCTCATTATCGAATTGAGTAGCAAATGCAAAAAATAAAAACAAAAAAAATACTCAAAATTCACGAGTAAATAAATCCTGTCTATAAGACTAGCAATTATTCGCTTTTGGAATACCATGATCCTAAACCAAGTTCATACTGGTCCAATTATTACTTAAGAAAACCATGATCCCAAACCAAGTTGAGCCCATTACGGGCCGAATTATCCCTCCTCACAGTGTGATAGCAAGTCACTGATTATGCCAAATGCCATCTTTGCTTCCCATTGTATTGGTGGCCTTTTGCTTAGCATAAACTCTGTCTGTTTCCATTTTTCAAAATTTACTTTTCAAAAAATTTTATTTTTTTATTTTTCGTATTTTTTTTTTATTGAATTTTATTAATATTTTAAGTAATTTTTTTAATTTTTAAACACACCTAACATAAATACACTTAGAAAGTATAATATTTGTGAAAAAAAGTCTTTAAAAAATTCTCTAAATACCAAAAATACAAAAAAAAAATGAAAATTCAGTATATTTTTCATATTTTTATGTATTTATTAATTTTTGAAAATATTTTTTCACAAATAATTTATTATTTAGATACATTTAAATATGTTATATCTAAAAAAGTAGAAAAATTGCTTAAAATTTAAAAAATATTCACTAAAAATAAAAAAAAAATTATGAAAAATAAAAGAAACTCAATTTTCAAAAAACTGAAACCAAACACATTGAATAGGATTTTTTTTTTCTTTTTGGGCCTGAAATTAAAGATCAATTTGTTAGGATTCTAACCCAATAGTGGTTTGGCCCAATTAGAACCAAGAAGGCTTAGCCTGTTAGCTAGAAGTCATATATCTCATTACAAAGTCAAAAATTCATATTTATTTCTATATATATATAATTGTGATTCATTCTATAATAAGAAAAACAAAAAAGGTATGTAAGACTGTTTAACAATCCTTATTTATGATCCTTTAATTTATATATATATATTTTTTTCTTTCGTTTACAGTTTTGATCTACCATTGTTATCACAATATGAGATAACGTTTCAGAGATTGTTTTGGGAAGATAGAAATAAGTAATTTTTTGACTTATTTCTTTACTTTTTGACTTATTCACAAAATTATTTGAGAAGTGCTAAATAAGGAACTTTTTTACTTTTTTGAAAATTATTATTATACAGTACCACATCACGTATAAAATTATAAATTTATTATATTATCCTCATGCATTATTAATATATTTTTGTAAAAAGCCATACAAGCAAGGGTATTTCGGTAATGTCACTTGTTGGCGTATTTCTCGCTTCCCAAATGGATTTTTGATGAAATAAGTTGGCTTTTAGCTTTGGAAATAACCCAAAAGCTTGCTTTTTTCTTTGTTCCCAAATTAAATTAAAGGCCCTGTTTGTGAAGATGATTTTGGGCTAAAATAGTCAATAAAGACAAAATAGATTAAAATAGTCAATCAAATGCAATGTTACATTCAAATCATGGCGCTGTTTGGGAAACACAGGTTAAGGCTATTATAGCCTCATTTAGGATATAAGCCAAAAAGCGTGAACAGTAGGCGAAGGTGCAAAATTCAAAAATAAATAAAATAGACTGCAGCTCAAGACAGTGTAGGCACTTGACAGATTGTAAAATCAATTGGAAAATTACAATTTCACCCCTTTATATCAATTTAAAAAATTATAATCTTATGGACAAATTTGTCATTTTAACTTCAAACATCATTTCAACACATTTTTCAATACAACAACTCAAATAAAAATTCATCTCATCTTTCCAAACACAAAAACTAAAATAGCCTACTAAAATAGCCAAAAAGCCAAAAAACCTCTAAAATAGCCACTTCCCAAACGAGGCCCATATAATCATTTCATTTTTTCTCTCACACAAATCAACTACAAAAAAAGTCAACCAACTTCCTAAACACAACTTTTTTAGCCAAGCTAAAATAGCCAAAAAATTAAAAAACTAACTAAATAGCCAACTTTCCAAACGAGCCCTAAATGTATAATATACACAAATTTCCATTGTCATGTGGTTTAAGGGAGATGCTATGGTGTCCACCTTATATATCACAAAATATGTAACTTTAATACAAAATTTTATAATATCAATTACAAAATGCGTAACATCGTCATAAATTGACATAATAAAAAAATATCGTAATCAAGTCACAAACTTTTGCAATATAATCACAAAATTTTGGACATTTTATTACGCCAAATTATGACAAAATTAGGTATTTTATAATTAATATTACGAAATTTTACAGTAAAATCATATATTTTTGTAATAAGGTATAGAATTTCCCATGGTTTAAATATAGGCTCACCTATTACGCTAATGATGCAGAACATCCCATCAATAAAATTATCAATAGTGTTACATTCATCAATTGATATACCAATTAGTATATCGACAAATACTATAGCCACTACAAGAATCTGTACTTTTAGCGACCACTTTTCGCGACCAATATAAAAGTTGGTAGCTAAAAGTTACCTTTTCGTGACCAAATATTAATTAGTCGCGAATGATCATTATTTTTGGCGACCAAATATAAGTTGGTCGCAGAAAGTCATATTTTGATGACCAAAAAATGAGTTAGTCGTAGAAAGTGGTATGCTTTTGGCGACCAACTATAAATTTGGTCGCAGAAGATCATATTTTGGCGACTAAAAAATAAGTTGGTCGCGGAAGATCAAAAATAAGTTGGTTGTGGAATTGGCAACCAAAATTTTAGTTGCCAAAAACTTATTTTCCCCAACCAAAAATATTTTAGTTGCCATATATTGAGTTTTGGCTACTAAAACAATTTAGTCACCGAATGAAAAATATATTTTTTTTTCTTTAGCGACCAAAAATTTGGTCACCAAAAACTTATTTTCAGCAACCAAAAAAAAATTAGTCGCCAAATTAGTACTTTTAGCGACTCATATTTTAGTCGCCGTTGATTGAGATTTGGTGACTAAAAAAGTTTGTCGGCAAAGGTATCTTTTCTGCGACTAATCTGGTCTTTTGGTCGCCAAAAGTTTGGAAGGGAAATTCGAAACGTGGAAATATTTTTTTATTTATTTGTATCTTAGCTCAGATACATACACCAAGCACCGAACAAATAAAAAAATTCGCTTGCTCTCCCTCTCCCTCTCTCTCACCATTGCCCACAATGTATTCTTTGTTTCTCTCTTTGCTCTCTGTCTATTTCTCTTTCTCTTTGACATTCACATAAACACATACCCTAGGCCACCATTCAAAATCACCACCACCAAAAATGTCTCACACCATGGTCGTGTCGCTCTGTTTCCCCACTGTGAGGTCGGCGGCGAACCGGCCAAAGCAGAGAGCAAACACGAAGAAGGCGCTAACACGAAACGAAACAGGAGCAGCAGCAGAGCAACAATGGGTTTGGCGGAGAGAGGAAGGATGTTCGGTTGTAGTGTGTGGAGCCGCCTACACTCTACCATTACTAATCCTCTCAATCTCAGACCTCTTGCATCAGATAAACGCTCTCTCTCTCTCTCTCTCTCTCTCTCTCTCTCTCTCTCTATATATATATATATATAGTGTGTGTGTGTGTGTGCGCACGCTTGCGTGTTTGGTCTATCCTTACCAAGTACATATATAGTGTGTGCTTGAGTGTTTGGCCTCTCCTTACTAGGTATTGATGAACTCTATATCTATATATATATATACACACACACACGCAATAGAGTGTTTGTATGTATCAATGATAGTAGTCATATGGTCTCTCCTTATTGTTTGGCATGCCTATAAGGTGTTTGTTTTTTGGTGTATGTTAAATTGTTTGGAGGAAAGAAAGAAAGAAAACCGCATTGAATATCTAATTTACGATCTTTGTCTCTTTTTTTTTTTCTTAAGTTTTAATTGATTTCTTTCTTTTGAGCTGAAGTTGTTGCTATGGTTGTGTGTCTTTGTATTTTTTGTCTTTTGAAATTGTAGAGTTGATTTGGAATTCCCAAAAGTTGAGGTTCGATTTCAAGACCTGTGTGTTGATGCTTTTGTCCTTGTTGGAAGCAAAGCACTACCCATTATTCCCAATTTCATTTTTAACATGACTGAGGTAAGAATTTTTTTTTTCCCTTTCGTCCTTAACTATTTTCCAGCTATAGTCTCATTCTGTAGTATGAAATTCTTATTATGTTTCCATTCCTAAAAAATTGGAATAGATCTTTTTGGGCTAGTTGAGGATTTTTCCAGGAAGAAGAAAGAATTTTTGTTCTGATGTTGTTTTGGAGAGGTTATGTTGGCCTAGAAAAAAGAATTTTTGTCAAGGTGTTGTCCAGGCAGAAGAAAGAAGTCTAATGTTGTCTGGGCTTTGTACTTTTATGAATTCTAAAGCCAAAAAGTTTCAATTTTCTTATGAACTGGGCTTTGTAAAATAGATATTAGGATTTTTTGGTAACACTTCTTTTCCAGTAGATAGATATGGAAAATGAAGAAATTGTTATTATTTTCATAAATATGTAAAAATATTTTAATTTGTTCTTGTGCCCTTGTCATATCGTGTTCATTTTTTTTTTTTTAAATTGTCATGTGGGCATGTCCGTGTTGTGCCGCGTCCATGCCTAATTCCCATATCTGGCTTCTTTGTCTGTTAGTGCAGTTCAACAGACCATGCAACCTGTATTCTTTTAAATTTTGAAATTGGGACCTTTTATGAGAGGCTTTATTCTCATGCATTTTTTTAAACTCCGGATCCAATCCTCACTCAAACGCATCCTAATTTGTTGAAATTTGAACAAGCCCGCTACAAAACCCAGTTAGATCCTACTGTAGAAGAAGTGAAGAAACTTTGTACTACGTGTCGCAAATATGCCAAGTCTGAAAGAGTTCTGTTTCATTACAATGGACATGTTGTGCCAAAGCCAACTGCTAATGGTGAAATTTGGCTATTCAACAAGGTTTCATTACTGAGCTGAAAGTGTTTCCATGCCTTTTATTGTTTATAATCTGTTTCAAATCTTTATATTCTTCTAATTGTGTCATTTGGTCCAGAGTTATACACAATATATCCCATTACCGACCAGTGATCTTGATTCCTAGTTGAAGACACCGTTGATATATGTTTTTGACTGCTCTGCTGCAGGAATGATTGTCAATGCCTTCGTAGAGGTATTCAATTCTATGTAGGGTGAATTCATAATAAGCATTTGATTTTGCCATGATATAGGAATTATTATTGTGTTTATTCAGCTCTCTGACTTTTAGTATGATTGTCTATGTTATAGCTTCAGGATTGGAGTGCTTCTACTTCTTCTGAATCTTCCCTGAGGGATTGCATTCTGCTTGCAGCCTGTGAAGCACATGAGACTCTTCCTCAGAAGTTCGACAATATGCTGATGTGTTTACGTCATGCCTCACCACTCCCATCAAGATGGCATTGAGATAGCGAGACATTTTATTCATTTATTTCATTTTCATTACCAGCTTTAATTCTATTTTCTTTTGCAAACTCTTTTAGTGCTAGCCAGACTGCTAGCATTAAGCCCCTATGTTTCTTTCTTGTCTTCGGTAATGCATCTTTTAGGTCCAAGCATCTTCATGTTTGTTAACACCCTTTTGTCATAAGATCCTGAGTATGTTTTGAGCTGAGTGTACGACATAATTTGGACTCTCATTAATTGGTTTGAAGGTAGAATTAAGGAAAGGGCTTATATCGTTGTTATGCTGTCGTTGAATGAGCTCCTGTGTCATTGTAAGTTTATGTTTTTTCTACTATTAGCATAAATGATAATTGTGGCTATTGCCAGCATACTTTATGAAAATTGTCATAGTAGGGAATAAATGAATCTGTGATTGTCAATTTTGGAGGATGATCACACTTGTTTCCAGTAATGCAGCTATATTTTTGTTTTGTATAACTTGAGGTAACTAACAAAACCTTCGAAGCCAACACGCCATCTTAAATAATAAAATTCTTGAAGGGTGGTGTGTTGGTTTAAGGCAAGTTCTTCTTTTGGAGACTTTTGGCATTTGATTATTTTCTACTGTAGGATGGACTTTCTGCAAATGTATGTTGAAGCTGTCCACCCACATTTTATTTTCCACATTTGCATTTAATATTGTTATATTTTCCACAAGAAAGGAAATTTGTTAATTATTGTTCCTAAGTTTTTTCTTTTTGAAATGTTATTATTCCTTAATTGTGGTTAGGTTGAATGAATTTTATTCGATATTGGATTGAATGTTTATAAACAAAAATTGATTGTTCTCAAAAAAAAAAAAAAAAAAAAATTTTTTGCCACAAAAAAATAAAGAACTCTTACCTTGATCAAATCAAATCATTGGTCGGCAATTCCTTACCTTTTGGCGACTAAATTGTTAGTCGGCGATTCCTCGACTTTTGACAACTAATCTGTTTGGTCGTGAAATGTGACAATTGGCGACTAAGATATTTGGTCGGGAAAATATCACTTTTCGCGACCAAAGTGTTTTAGCGACAAAATGGATTAGTCACAGTAATGATATATTTAGCGACCAAAAATTTAGTCAACAAATCCAACTTTTCCCGATCAACAAAAATTTTAGTCGCGAATTACTTTTGCCGACCCTCAATTGGCGACCAAAGTAGCGACCAAAAAAATTAGTCGCGGATAACTTTTACCGACTAAAAATGGGCTTTTAGCGACCACTTTTTTGGTCGGCAAAAGTGTTATTTCTTGTAGTGAGCATTGCCAATTCAAAATTATGGAGCCCACCTATTATACAAACTATAAATATCCAAAACTTCTAAAATTATATCATATCATCCATTAATATACTAACTGATATACTAATTGGTGCGTATAGTTTTATTTCCCGTAATACCTCTTTTCAATCTCATAGCATTGGTCAACAGTTTACCATTGAAAATAAGCCACAAGAAGCCCTTAAGCTTCTAAGGTATTTTTAATTTCCACAACCAATCAAGATCAACAGGGTTCCCCACTTGCCTAGTAGCCAGCTTATAAGCTGCATTGGTGGAAAAATCCCCATTTGTGGACCCTTTCCAATGAGGAGAATCAGGAAAAGTCACAAAACGAGGTAATTTAATTTTAAGAACATGCTCAATTGCACCAGCAAGAAGATTACCCTATACAAACTATAAAAAAAAAAAAAAAAAAAAAGCAGCTTGGGAAAACCACAAATCTTATATTCAATGTAGTTTGGAGAAACAAGATTTGCGTCAAACTTAAAATAAAACATATCGTTGATGTCTTCCTGCTATCATTGCTCAAACTCCATCATTGTTGTCGTGATCACCGTTAACCATAGGTACCTAGAGCACAAGGGCACCCACAAAAATAATAGATACCATTGTGAGTATTGATAATCCAAAAAATCTATGAACCATAAAAGGGGAAAACACTTTCTTTGTTTGAATCAAAGAGAAACTCTTATACCCTTCTTTGTATGCGTAAAAAATCAAAGATCTACACTATAGAAGTGTAGTTGGAGCTAGTTGAAACAATATCAGAAAGTTATTGGAGGGGGCACCGGGAATGTCTAGAGAGCGAAAGTCCTGCAACCCCCTCTACAGGAATGTTGGGTCGATAAGTAACTACTTAGGTGAGAGGGTGCAAGAGTGAGAGATTTAATGTAATAATATATATACGAACATTAGAGCATGTCTAATGTGAAAATATATACATGGCTGTTAAAGTGCTTATTAAATGATTTATATTAACATATATTGTAAAAGCACATGCTTGGCACGTGGCATGTAAAATTACTTGACATTTTTTTTTTCAAAAAATTCAAAGTTTAAAAAAGAAAAAAGGGGAAATTGAAAATGGGAAAAAAAAATAACAAGAAAAGTCTTGCCCTTTCAAGTCTTTCTAGTTTCATCATTTGTCTTAGAAATCAAACAAAAATTAATGGAAAAAGGAGAACAAAAAATAAATAAAAATTGACAAGCTAATATATTGAAGTTTGTTAAAAGACAAAAACTTTTCAAAAAACTGCAAAATAAAAATATAATGACCTTGCAAGAATTATTGTGAATTTAATCAGAAACATGGAACTCTTTAAAGCTATACATCAATTTTATTTGAACATAAAAAGTCCTTTTGAAAAGGGCTCTTTTTACAATACACTTTTTTTTTCCTCTTTTTTTTTTTTTTTGTTTTTGGGAAAAGGGCTCTATGTTAGAATTATAAAGAAGCTCTCAAACCATTCTTCATATGCATAAACAACCCATATCTACATGATAGAAGTGTAGTTGGAGTTTGTCGAAAAAACCTTGGAAAGATGTTAAAGAGGCGTCAAGAATCTCTAGAGGGAGTCAAGAATCTCTAGAGGGAGAATGTTCGGCTCTTCACAAGATTGTTATACCTATAAATAACTAATAATTAGTTGAGAGGCTTTGGGAGTGAGAGTGTCTAGTGTGTGCGTGTATATATATAATGATATATATTAACATATGTATGGGATCATATGTAAAGAAACTAGTGAAAAAACATATGCTTTGCACATGCCGCTTAAAAGTCTTGCACCTTCAAGTCTTTTTAGTTTCATCAATTATCTTAGAAACTAAACAAAAAATAGCAGAAAATCACCAAATAAATAAATATAAATTGACAAGATATTATATTGAAGTTTGTTAGAGGAAAAGAGCTTTTCAAAGATTCGCAGAATTAAAATATAATTACGTTACAAGAATTATTGTGGATCTAACATCATTTTGAAAGTTAAACATCATTTTTATCTAAACATAAAAAGGTCTTTTGAAAAGGGGTCTTTTTACAATACACACTTTCTTTCTTTTTTTTATGTGTATTATATGAAAGTTATGATAATTTATAGTGTTGATATCACAAATGTCATAGTTAAATTACTTTTACAATAACACCCAGTTGATTACTTGACAAAAAATTTAGATCAGTGGTAATAATGTAGAATAAGATCTCACTGGAAACTCGTTGGAGCTCATCGGAGAATTGTTGGAGGACCGCCGATAATCTCTAGAGAGAGACTATTTGCAGGCACCCTTAGTCACAAGAACTCTAGCCTAAAATTTGTTAAGAGGGTGCAAGAGTGAAAGTGTCTAATTAAAATATATTTCTGGACATTAAAGTATGTCAAATGTGAATATATACATATGGACGTCAAAGTGTTTATTAAATGATATATATATTAACATATATGTGTAGGATCATATGTAAAGAAACTAGTGAAAAAGCACATGCTGTGCACGTGGAGCGTATAATTATTTGACATTTTTTTTTCTTAGATATGAATATATAAAATTCACATCCCAATCAACATCAACATTTATGAGCTTGTCCACCATATCCAAATTGATAGAAATACAGTTAGGGCTCCAAATTGATAGAAATACAGTTAGGGCATTGAGAGGCTAAAGTGTCTTCCCCACACCACTAGTCACGCCAAATTAGTACTTTAGTATCATCACCAATTCCCCATTTTATGACTTTTTTCAACAAATCTCTACTTTTAAGGACACCCCTCCAAATATGAGAGGAGCTGCTCTTACTACAGTCAGAGAAACGATTATCATTCAAAAGGCGTTTGCTAACCAACACTTGAACCCACAAGCTATTTTCTTTGCACGAGATTTTCCACCCAATCTTAGACATGAGAGCAAGATTATGAGGTTTAGCCTCATGAAGGCCAAGCCCCACTTAATAAGTGGATCTTCTTGTTACAAAAAGTTTTAGTGTCACCCCATAAAAAGTTTCTATTCAGCTTATCAATCTCATTACAAATGCTCATAAGAAGTCAAGAGTTTGCATAACATATGTAGGAAGAGCAGAAATAACAGATTGAATTAATATAGCTCTACTAGATAATGACAAAAAAAATTAGTTTTCCACCCATTGAGCCTTCTTTGAATCTTATCAAGGATAAATTGGAAGTGGCTTCTGCTGCATTTTTTATGGAGTAAAGGGATGCCTAAGTATTTACCTAGATCATGGGTAAGAGAGATGCCACAAAAATTGCTCAAGGACCTAGCCTTCATATTATCAAACATTAGGGGATATAAAAAGCTTGGATTTCAAGAGATTAATCTTTAGTCCCGAAGTCAAGCAAAATTTATTTAGCACCCCCATGATGTTCTCACAATTTTTTTCATGCCGCTCTACCAAACAAAAGATGATCATCTACAAAAAAAGAAGTCAGATATGGTAGGAGCACAACTAGAAGCCTTCACTCATCAATGATCAAATTAGAAACTATTTACACAAGACAAAGAAGTAAGGTGAGAGGGGATCTCCCTGTCTTATGAATTGAATTAGTTCACATTGTAATGGTTGATTTAAATATTGTGTTGTTGAATTGATTTTTAAATTTCAAGGATGAAATTTTTTAAAGTGGGAGAG